TCGCTTCATTGAGATGGTCACGAGTGTAGGGATGAGAAAATCCCCAACTCAGATGAATGCCGTGCAGAAAATAGAAGGTGATACATAATATTTACTTTTGTCTGTTATCTCATACAAGAGCATCGAAGGAGGTGGGAGAACTAGATCCCCCTCCTTCAAACGCTGCTAAAGTACTTCATCAGGGGTTGTTTTAAGGGGGTAAAGTACCTTTGGGGCTTGACAGGCTAACTGTAGGGTCTGTATCATTTGCCCCCGTTTTGATTTCCTCGCTGGTCTTGGCCAGCTGCTTGATTCTGATTACTTGAGTTTGCCTGGTGGAAGATAATTTGGTTTACCTCCCCATCTTGTTTAGCTCGAGGGGCTTTCTTCGAGAATAATTTAGATATGTCATTATATGCTTTGTTCTTTTAATAATTGTCCACAACATAGAGAGAAAGAGAGAGACTCAAGTGTTTCATCCTCTTTAATTTGTGAATGTTATTTTATGGTTCGTTTTTAAATAGTCATCAACACAGTAGATAGAGAGAATGAAAATTTTGACCTTAAAATGAGCTAAAAACTTAAGATGTGAACTGTCTAATTTGTTTATCATATTGCATGTCTTAATTCCATAAGATCATTTTTATTGTTGTATATTGGTATGAAATTAACTTATGAAATGAATGACTAAACTAGTTTAACTACACACTACTAAAACCTGATTTTCAACTTAGTAAAACCAAACTGGGGATTGTTATATACTTGGTTTTTCAAAAGGGATTGTTTACAAGAAGACCATTTATCTTTATTGCAACTCATTAGATGTCAAATTGGATGGCTTGAGATTAGTGACGAAGTCCGAGAATTTTTCTTGGAACTTTATATCTATGCAATGACATTCTTACAACCACCATCTATGCAATGACATTTTTACGACCACCCATTTTAAAATTTAAAAGATAATATTGATTGTAATCTCCTTGTACAAAAAAATAAATGGTATCTTTATAGACAATCTCTTGTCAAAAATCGACCTAAACAACATTGTTGATAAAACTAGGTTTTTACATATACTGGAATTTGAATACTCAGGTTTTGAGGCATATCCAAGAATTTTGTATCCATCGTCCCAATAAACATATAAAAGAATAACGATAAGAGCATGTATATTATGCTCCCTCGGGAGCATACTTTACTTCTAATCCCTCGGTCAGAAGACTTAGATTTTTTCTTTTTTTTTAATCTAAAATTTTGGTAACCACTTTAGAATTACAAGGTGATTATTATCGAGAGAAGCTAAAATTTAAGTTTTCAATCTAAAGAGCCTCTTTCCTTATTTTTTTTTTTTTTTTTTTTCGTTTTTTTTATGTTAAGCCACGTGCGCTAAGGCGGATATATCCCCAAAATTTGGGGCCCTAATATTAATATTAGGTGGGGCTGTAGCCAAGGGAGTATTTAGAGAGTATACTCCCGAGGAAGTAGAATATATTTCGGCTAATAATAAGAAGCATTTGCGGCCGGTTCCATAGTCCGTCTTGGGTAACGTAAATAAATGATACGACCGGCCTTTTTATCTTCGTATCGAACACACGGCGCCATTCGTACGCAGGCTTTCGTCTCAATTATTTGAGCAAAAAAAATTAGGGGCAGGTGGAGTGCACGCCTTTGTCCACACTTGAAAGGCTGGCCAGGAACGATGCTGCTTACCCTGCTTGCAAACACTCATCCCTTCCCTCGGCATTGCAGCTCTCTCATTCCGTTTCTCACCTGCTTATTATCTTCGTCAAAACTCACTGAATCTTATCTTTGACTCCTACTCTGATGGGTTGCCGTACACTTTGCCATCTGCAAAGCCCAAGTAAAAGAGTGTTGCTCCGATGGCATAATATTGTTGTCCCGTACTTTTTTCACTAAATTTACGCTTAAAAGGAATAATAAACGGACTTTTACTTGTGGTTTTTTGCCGGTCATGTATGTAGTTCTCGGCACACGTAAAGGACGGAAAAGCACGAGCACAAAATCCCCCTTTTCAAGGAATACAATTTTTTACCCGCGAATACAAGTTGGTTTAGGGAGTACAATTTTTTTTTAATGATAATAATCACTCTTTTTTATTTTGACAAAAAGAACACTTACATATGATCTTATTACAATCAATAAATATTTTAAAATAAAACAACACAACAATAAAATAAAACTCAACCATTTGATGTTATTTTTATAACTTAATACTATGCTTGAAAATATAAAATAAAAGAGCAAAATAAGTAAAAGAGAAGATGTCAGAGATTACCTCAACCGAACTTATTACACTCTACACCGAGTCACCACATCCAATGGCGTATGCTCAACGGTCTAGCTTTTAATTTCAACCAAACTAAGTAACCACCCTTAATCTCTACAAAATCCTAACTCCAAAATAATTATGCTCAAACCCTAATTTTTCCAACCCTTAAATCTTTAGGTCAAGAAAGAGAAAAAAAGAGACTTAGGGTTGAGGCGTGCCCCTTATAGGTCTTAGGAGATAGAGAAAGCCTGAGAGGAGAGAGAGGGGTGTGGCCCCTAGGGAGGAGAGAGAGATGTGTGTAGAGATGTGGGGAGAGCTCCCCTATTTATAGTGAAATTTAGGTTTAGGGTTTCTCATAGTTTGCCTCTTTCTTGAGATTGAATATGGAACGTTGATCAAGGTGACTTGTGGGGTGAGAGATTTGAGTCATCCATTCCATAGATGGGCCATCAACATTATGGAAGGTGCATCAACCATTATCCCCCTTTTCTTAAACCATTTTTCCCATCAATATATTTAAATAAGTTAAATCTATTAAAATATCATGCATTCCATAAAATTGCATAATCCATCTCATATATTCCATAAGAATATATCAAATAATATCAAGTTTATATATACCTTCAATAATCAAGATAAGATATGATCAATATTTCCTAATCAATATTTGACCATATGCTACAAGATATAGTACCATATTTAATAAACTTGAACACAAAGTAACTAGAGAAGGTATCCAAGGGTGGGGCATGCCAACCATGTATGGTATGTGGGGCCCCACCTAATACCTACATGGTGGGCCCATGTGCATTATGGGGACCCATGTACTTTTTAATAAATATTTTAAAATGAAACAGAATGGATTTTAAAACATTATAATTTTGTAAATTAATAACTTTATTTCTATAAATCCAAAAATAAGAAATAAAATATCAAATGACTTATAAAAATTCAAATAATAAATCTAAAATAATTTAATAATAAAATGAACGCAATTAAATTAATATGATGTGAAATGGATCTATATGGTTCAGAAATTCTATCACCGATCACAGGGTACTCTACCTTCAACTGTAGACTACAGACTACAATTGTTTTATCAAACCGACCCAGTGTTTCCCATGACTCACATTCTAAGCAGGGGCTCATTAGCGAGTCACCAAAGTCTGCTCGATAAGCCAAGGGGTCGCAATCCCAGTTTTTGGATTATAGGTCCTCCCCTAGAGACGAAACAAGGTCGCCACGACCTGATGTGCCCACAACCCTATGGTGCATAGGGGTATCTCTCGCACATGCATACGCTTCACCCAAAAGGTGGATAACTGACTTTATCGAACGATCTATCGATATGTATGCCGTGTGATGGATCATAGATGAGGTTTTGGCCCCCGTCTCTGTAGGCATACCATCACACAATGGTCACACAGTCTCTTGGCTCACTCATCTAGGCATAAGCTCCGACCTCATCAAGGGCTAACCCAAAAACCCTTCTCGGTTTATGCTTTATGCCCAGGTACCTTGAGTTTTCCAACCGACTGGCCTAGACCGTCAAGCACAGTCAGGTATCAGCAAATATTATCAGCTTAGTATGGTCCTCGAGGGACCACACTCCCACTGAGTTTATGTTCTACTATAATAAATGATTTTCATTAGACACTCATAAGGCCTTTAAGGGCTACATAAACCCAACACTCGCACACATAAAGGAGGGAAAAGTACGAGCACAAAATCCGTTTTTTTTTAATTATCTCTTCAATTGCTTATTCAAAAAAAGTTCACAAAATTTTTTTTTACCGAAAATTACGAAAAGTGCTACAATAAATAGATTTATATCAATCCCAAGAATGAGAACGTTGGAACAAAAGTCAGAGCCGAAAAAAAAAGGAAGAAAAAAAAGGGATACAAATTTTTATACTGATACAAAAACTAAAGGAAAAACATATAAAATGTTTGCATTTAAATACCACGCCCCTTCAAATATATTTTTTTTAGTTTACCCCTCAGTCCGATTTTAATAATATTAGACCTGATTTTATTTTTGGGTGCAGTTTGTTTAAAGCTGAGGCTCTAAACAATCAAAATAAAGCGCACACTCAAATAGTCGATAAATGTAGTTTCAATACTGGAAATCTTTGTGATAGCCTTGCAATATATTTTCATCTTTAATTATAAAATTTAAAAAGTAGTGCAGATCACACAGATCTATGAAAACACCAAAATCTTTGAAAATTGGCAGTCCAAAAATATCGTTAGCACCATTTCCAAAACTTGGAATATATATTTTTATCATGTTCATGCATCTTGATGTCAAGATGATCAATTTGAGAATATTTGAGCTTCATAACAACATCTTCTAGTGAAATTTTTAAAGTGGGTTCTAATTTGAATGTTTAGACCTCAGCTCGGTAAAAACTTTTCCTTAATTTTTTTAATTTTTTCTCAAACTTATGGTAGTGACTTGAGATTTAGGTCACTACTCAAGCGGTCCTGCTCTCTATGTGGCCTAAAGCCAAAAAGCTAGTGGTCCAATGCCATGATGTGTGACCACTCCAAAAATGACCTAAACCTTAGGTCACAATCCAATAGAAAAAAAAAGGGCAAATTATAATCGGCAATGTTAACCAAATCTTTGTCACCACGTTTTTCTCCCATTCTCTTTGTTGCCCAAGTTTTTCTCACGACGCACTTGAAAAATTCCGTCCCCCACAATAAGGAAAAGGGTTTATCGAGTAAAAGGAAATAGATAATTGGAGTATTCGTACGGCCAATGTGGTTGGTTCAGAAATACAGTTCACATTTATCGTGATTCTTGTCCTTGATGAACAGGCGCTAGCAAATGTGCACGTACCATTCACTGTCTTTCCTTTTTTAAGCGCCGCCCGACCTTTTCATCTTCCATCGCCGCAGCTCTGCCGCAACTGCAACTGCAACTGCAACTGCGACTAAGACTCAGCTGCAGGCACCAAAGAAATAAGTGCTCATGTCATGAAAGAGCCCAGAAACGTACGTCTCAATTGCATTAAAACTGGGGTGGAGTTGGCGCTCCTATTTATGAAACTTTGAAGCAATGGATGGAAGCACTAACATGACTGCGCATGATAAAAACTCATCGACCCACTGAGAGCGGCAATCCCTCTCTCGAGAAAGTTGAACGGCACGATTATTCAGAAATAATCGCAAAACCTTTTGAGTTTGACTGGAAACTGACCCAATCGCTGCCCACCCACCATTATTAACTTCGCAAGTTACTCTCTCTCAATCTTGTTGTTTTTCTTTGATGAAATGGCTTTCTTCATAGAAAGGCCTTATTCCACTGCGTCAAGCAGCAACAACGACATGTGCTCGAAACAAGTAGAAGGTAGTGATATGGAGAGGATGGGAGGGTTTCTATCTGTGCCCACTCATTTCGAGCAGTGGGTTACCTATCAGCTTCAAAGGGAGGGACAGGACACTGATCGCTTCATGGCATTACAGGTAACTACACTGTCGCGGCACTCGTATTTTTAGATTTGTCTTTCGCTTAGCATGTATCCATTTCTTCCATGGTTAAATCTATGATTTTTGTATTGTGAACTAAAAGTTCGTTTGGTTAACAGAACGAGAGGACCAGAATGGGGTTGCAGGAGCAGGGGAATGGACATTTATGGGGTTTTCTTCGGGCGATCGAAGACAGCACAGCGAGGTTGATGACTGAAAAAGAAGCAGAGATAGAAAGAGCAAGGAAGTGGAAGGCAGAGTTGGAAGAGGAGATGAGACGGGTAGAGACGATGCAAATTCATTGGCAGAGGATAGCAGCAGGCAACGAGGCCATGGCCGTGGCCCTGACCAAGACCATAGACCGGATCAACCAGAGAATCCAAGTCCAAGACACCGCCTCTTCCTCTTTCCAAGAAAAAGAAGAGGAGATGGTGAGGTGCAGGGCGTGCGGGCTGCGTGAAGCGAGGATGCTTATGCTGCCGTGCAGGCACCTGTGCGCGTGCGGTCCGTGCGAGGTCATACTTCCCTGCTGCCCTGTCTGCCAATGCACCAAGCACGCCACTATTGAGGTCTACTTCCTCTAATCTCTCTTTCCCCCAGAGACCTTTACTGTTCAGTAGCAGTCCCTTCTTCTCATCATTTTTCTTTGCTTTTTTTTCTTATGTGAAGTAGCTCAATGTCAGACCCCGTCGTTTTGTTTTCCCGTTCAGAAATGGAAGCATATCATATTGTGTGCTCCAGCGGGAGCTTACTGCGCCTGTACTCCCTCAGTCGTTTTTATAGTCTAAAATTTTATTGGGGCTACTAGACAACTATGTTAAAGGAGAGAAATTTTAATTTTATATTATGTGAGACTTACTTCTAGCCCTTCAAAGTTCAGATAGTATCAATTCAATCTTGAGGTATTAATTTTATCTGGTTATTTCTCTAAATTTGAGATCTAAAAGTATCATTTTGCCTGAAGGAGTAAATAGATACTACGCTACTGTAGAAGTACAGAATCTTTTGGCCTATGGTAATTCCATATTGTTGGAGTGGGATTAAATGGATTGTGATGGTAGGGACGAACTTCAGTCGTTAATTAATGGCGAGCAAGCGCATGCCTTCGCGTTCGTTCGTTCGTTATCTTAAACTGGGATTATTTCACTTGATTTTCATTCAAATTTCCTATTTCTTGCTTGCATTTTTTTTTTCGAAAGAAAGAGAGAGTGGGAGAGTGGGAGAGCAAGGCATGCCAGCGGGGACCAGAACGACCAATTAAAAAGCGCGTATACCTCCGGAAAAGAGCGAACCATTGAAAGGCGGGTGCAGTTTCTATAGAACCGAGTCTCTAAACAATCAAAGTAAATCACCTTCAAATAGTGCTGAGAAATGCAGTTTCAATACTGAAAATCTTTAGATAACCTTAAAATATATTTTTATCTTAAATTATAAAATTTAAAACTTAAAAAATAATGCAGATCCAAGTCGGCTATAATTGACTGTTTAGAGCCTTGGCACTATATAAACTTTTTCCCTAAAATGCCCCGGGAAAGTTGGTACTCTATATAGAGTACTAGTACAATTAGCCCGTGGACAGTCGGGACATACAAATATTCTAGTCTACGGTACACCACTTGCATTTGTGACTCTAATTTGTCATTTCATTTTTCGAAGAAAGGATGCTTTAACGATGGGATGGGTTTCTATGAGTTAGCCACTCATATTGTACATATGCGGGCCCCCACTTAAACCTAGGGGTGGCAATGGGTTGGGTCCGGCTGGACCCGGACCTGACCTGTCGAGGCCAAAAGTCGGACCCATACCCATACTTGTCAAGTCCGGGGTCTATCTTGTCGGGTCCTAGGTCTAGTCGGGTCCATTGCCAACTTCACTATGAGGTTCTTTTTTTGTAGCCTACAACTGTGAACAACATAGAACTAATTTTTTGAAGGGTGGGCGATTAGAGAGAGACATTCAAGATCTAAATGAGAACTATGTCTCCAAGAAACTAAGTGAGGAAGAATTGCAGAGAGGGAGGATGGCGATGGGGGCCATTTGGGGAACTAGGAGAAAAAGAAAAGTATTGAAACAATTTTACGGTTGGAGCTTTGGACTTTGGGTAAACTAAAAATTCGGGTTCGGGTACCCTCCGGGTCAGGCATAGCAGGACCTGTACCTGGACCTGGACCGGAGACTATCCAAGTATCTTTTATTAGACCCGGACCCTACCCGCAGGTCCAAAACTTGGACCCATACTTGGACCCTTCTCGGGTATACTTGGCGGGTATGGGTCGGGTCCAGGTCCATTTGCACCCTTACTGAAAACCTATCATAAAAATAAATTTTTAATCCAAAACTTTAGATATTCATGATCTAAGTTCAGATGATTATGAAAATAAAATAAAAAATAAAATTTTTAATATTTGATAAGGGAATGCTTTTAAAAAAACATTCTACACCATTTAAATTCATTTTAACCATGGGTTTTTTGGAACTTCCTTCTCTTCAGCAGGCTCTTGCACCCGTAGCTTCGCGAATAATTTTTTCTTTAACTATTTTACTATGGGAAAAGTTTATATAGAACCGAAGCTCTAAACCATCAAATGGGAGCCTACCTCAAAAATTTCACGAGAAAAAGTTGTTTTGATGCTCAAATATCCTCAAATTGATCATCTTGACATAAAAATGCTTGAGCATGAGAAAAAAATGGATTTCAAGTTTTGGAAATAGTGTATTTTGTAACGCATTTTTGGACCATCAATTTCAAGATTTTCAAGTTTTCATAGATCTTGATCTACACTATTTTTGAAGCTTTAAAATTTATAAATAAAGATGAAAATATATTTTAAGGCTATCACAAAGATTTCCAATGTTGAAACCACATTTCTCAACACTATTTGAGGGTAGAATCTAATTTGATTGTTTACAGCCTAGGCTCTATACAAACCACACCCCTTTACTAATGAAGCCTCATTTTCACGTACATAGTGTGACCGTAGATTTTGGATAACACCGTTGGATAATCATGAAATTTCTTTTTAGTTTATTTTTGTTTGACACTAAATAAAGAAAAATAGTTTCATGCGAGCTGGACTGCATATCCAGAGGTATAAAGCTTCTATCTTAAAGAGGATGCAAATAGGTGGTCCATCTAAAACCAATTGAAACTAACGATCCAAATGTTTTTTAATAGAATTATTATTTTTAATTTTTTAATTTTATTTATTTATTTATTTTCCTTATTTCCATGCTAGAGATTACATATCTTTAAAAATTAAGTAAAAAAATTCATCTCAAAAATAGATTTTTAAGAGGAGTCTCAGTTTTACATGGACCGTAGAAACTGGGTCCATAAATAAATGTGGAAAAAGATTAAAAACCTTTTGTTTATAAGGTTGTAGTAGTCTTTGCTGTTTATTTTATTTGGGCATGAAAAAGTTTATATAAAGTTACAACCTTAAAATGTAGAGTTAAAGATACACCTCAAAAATTCATTGGAAAAGGTTGTTTTAATATTGAAAAACCTACTAATTGATTATCTCCACATCGAGATGTATGAATATGACAAAAAAAAAAAATTTCAGTCCCAGAAATAGCGTGTCTTGGAACACATTATCTTGACCGTCCATTTTCAAGATTTTCATATGTTTATAGATCTACTTGATTTTAACCACTATTGGAGTTTAAAATTTTATAATTAGAGTTGAAAATAGATTTTCAGATAATCGTAAGGATTTTTTACATCAAAATTACATTTTATGATAAAATTAGAGATGCACCTTAATTGAATTGTTTTAAGGTTGCAACCTTATAAAACCACACCCATAAAAATTTGATATTATCTTAAAAGACGTGTCATTTTTTATGTTATCTTAAAAGACGTATCAAATATATACCTTTAAATTAAAACAAACATTCAGAGTATAGAAACCTGATTTTTACAAGCAAGATTGTCGCCTTATATAGAACCATGTCCATTAAATACATATAATGGGTCCAATCTTTCAGTTCATTTCTATTTTACAAGTTGCTTTTTAGTTTTTTTTTTTTCCCCTCAATATTTAGAATTGGCGCTAGGTAAATGTGGTAGCGGTGGTGGGTGCCAAATGAGCCAAACCAATTTATAAAAAATAAAAAATAAAATGAGTTTTTCTTCATTTCCTAATCCATTTCCAAATCCCTAGAGCACGTTTGTTTTTCTGAATGAAATCTTTTGGAAATTTGAATGGATAAGTTATTATGGGTTTTAAATAAGAGTTATCTTTTATGGAATGGATAAGTTATTAGTTGCAAGTATAATGGTAATTATTGGTGCATGATTAGTTGACAAGGTTAGCTTTTCCTAAGATTAACGTGGGTAGGGTTAGCTTTTCCTAAGATTAACGTGGGTATGTGTTAGTGCGTGTGAATAAGAGATAAGGGTGTACTTCTGGTAAGATAAGTATTTTGGTTATAAATGATAGGATATTAATCGGTAGTTTCCTTTTTATAAAGAGGTTATTTCCTTAGCTCATAGGAGTAGATTAGGTTTTTTAATAAAAGATGAACCTAGATTAGAAAGGTTTATTACGCTTTTTTGGAATAGGACGTGCAAGGTGTGGGTAGGAATTGATTAAATAGTAGGGAAAAGTGCTGAAAGCCTCCAAATATGTGCTTTTTAAACACTCTACCCCGACCCTAATCTTTCCTCACATATTTTTCTCCAAAACCACCTTTTCTAACTAATAATCCCCCCCCCCCCCAATCTAAAAATAATAAAAATAAAGACTAAACTACCCTCCCTTTTAACTTTACCCATTTATCTTTTACCCTTACCCATTTCTCTGCATTCCTTTTTCCCTCTCCACGATTTTCCCTCATGCCCTTCTCCGTTCCTTGTCCTTCCTCACGACATTCCCCCTCTACGATTTTCCCTCACACCCTTCTCCTTTCCTTCTCCTTCCTCACGGCATTCCCATTTTCCTCTCCATGAATTTTCCCCCTTACGAGGTCATTTCTCTCTCTTGTAAGGCGAGATCTTGTCTCCCTCTTTTTCTACAAGGCCCACTCACTCTCTCTCACGACCTATTTTTTTACTCTCTCCCTCTCTCTACCAAGGCCCCACTCACTCTCTCGACTTAAGCCAAAACTCAACTTTTATCTCAATCTCTCTTTCTACCAAGGTCTCGCAAAGTATCACGTTTTTCTGTCCCTCTCTCTACACAAGGTCCCACAACACTGTCTGTACAAAGGTTTTTCTCTCCCTCTCTCTCTACAATCGAAGGTCCCAGAACTCTCACTGTCTCTACGAAGGTCCTACAGAGCACTACTCTCTACGAAGGTCATACCTGGGCTGAGCTCGATTTTTGAGGCCCAAGTATGAAAGAATTGTTCAATTAAATATTTCGAAACATTTTTTTTATCTAATTTTTGCATTGTAACTTCAACTTTGGGGTTAAAGCTTGGCATGTGAAAACCTTTTCCTTAATCATATGAAGTGAAAATGTGAATCAAAAGCCTGTTGATGGTCTTTAAATTTGTGTTGTTTCAGATCAAAATGTGGATGAGAACCTTTCCCTAAAATCTGTCGTTGGATAGCTGTATTTAATTTGTCATTGACAATTGAAGGAATTGATAGGTAATTCTTAAGATGTATTGGTTTTTTTTTTTTCTTAGTTTGTTATGGATATTGTCAATGTCCCTTTATTTTCATTTTAAGGTATGAATGTTATTGGTGGTACTAATTTTTGGGTTATTTGTACTGCTTTATGTTAATCTTATAGATGTTGATCCATAA